AGGGTTCGGATCCCACATACAGACCGGTTCCCGCTCACTGGCTGAGCGAGGTGTGGGAGCAACACCGAGGGTTGCGATCCGTTGCCGGACACGAACAAAGACAAAAAGGAAAAAAAAAAAAAAACTAAAATGAAAAAAAAGTGTGTGTGTGTAGGTCAGAGTACTAAATTCTAGCAGGTCAAGGACAGCCATTCTAACAGGCCCCATGGAAGGGCCAGATCCTGGCATGGAGAGATGGGGAGGGAGAGACAGAGAGGGCAGCCTGGGGTGTGGGGGAGTGGCCAGGGACCAAGGCCAGGTGGGGGTGGGATAGAACATCATTGGGTAACAGTGGGGTCCCCTTTGGGCCTTTGGGGAGGACATGTGATCTGCTGTAGGTGTTAGGAGGTTTTCTAGACACTGCATGGAACAGACAGAGCTTTCTAGGAGCTGACAATTGACCTGGCTGTTAGGAGAGTAGAAAGAAGGAACCACTTGAGTCTCGCATTCTCATGTGACCTATTTGAAGAACTAAGGCACAAAAACAGGCCTGGTCCACGGCTGGGATCCCCTCAAGTGTTTCCACTAGGCCCACCAGGCCCCTTCATTATCCTTTAGTGTGGTGCCCAGGTCACTTGCCCACTGAGTCTGAGGTGTGACAGGGGCTGCCGGGAAGGTCCACTGGCACCCAGAGCAGAAAGAAGCCTTTGGGAGGGAGGGGCAAGGTTGGGCCTGGCACGGTTGGGGAGGGATGAAGTAGGGCTTGACTACCTGCCCTAGATCTGATTAGCACAGGTGAGCCACCAGCAGTCTGCTCCTGCTGGGGCAGGCTCAGAAATGGGGAGGCCAGAGGCCCCGAGGAGCTGCCTTTTCCATCCAGGCCCATAGGGGAAGGCCACAGGGCACCCCACAGCTTGGGCTTGCCCACATGTACCCCGTCAACTGCAAAGGGGACGGAAGGCCTGCCAGCACTCTCACAAGGTTAGGGCAGAGGCAGCGACCTTGGGCCCAGAGGCTCTTGAAGCCCCCACCTGCCTTTCTGGTAAGGGTCTGCCTGCAGCTGGGCAGCCTATGGGCCCGCCACCAGGACTCCCAGGCCTTCCCTGCAACCAGCTGGAGCCCAGGGTCCTGCCCAAGGATGGTTGAGGAAAAAGCAGAGGAGGTGAAAAGGGGCTCTGGAAGGGGGGGGTTCTGCAGGCTCTGGATGAAGACCACATGTCATCCTCCCTCTCCCTGCAGCCAGACCTCTGCAGTTTGCTGGGGAATGGCATGAACATCCTGGCTCTGTTGCACCTCGCTCTGACCTTGAACAGTTGCTGCTCTCTCTGCTTCTGTAAAATGGGAACCCAGGACTAGGTGCTTCCCGGGTCCTCAGTCAGGCTCCCCTGGCCCATGAGAGCCCATGATGGGGTCCCCAGTACCCAAGCTAGGCTGGCTCAGTGGAGCTCTGCCAAGGTTTGTTGGGTAACCGATCTAATATGTCATTGTGCTCTGTATGCAGGAGACAACCCCCATAAGACCCTTGTATGCAGTTGCACAAAAGAAAAGCAAGTAGTGGACAAAGCCTGGAGGACTGATGGCCTCCCTGGCCCCACTACAGCCAGGGCTTCCCAGGGACTTGTAGGACAGAATAACGGCACATGCAGGCCTGGAGGGCTGCCTGGGGTCCAAGGCCATCCCCAGGTGTCAGCCAGTCCTGGGATTTTCTCCTCCAGTGCCTGGCATTGGTGCCCATCGCCTCCCCACTCATGGGTGCTCCATTCTCTCCCCATTGTGACCCTGCTCCCCCATGGCCCCGCCTCCTCCTGTGGCCCCGCCCCCATAGCCCTAACTCTCCAGAATGGCTGTCTGGGTCTTGCAGCGTCAGCACCTGTAGCTCACAACATCCCTGTCTCAGCAGCTTCTGTCCACAGTCCTGAGAGGGAGCCTCACCCGGAACATTTGATTGTGGCAGGCTATGTCACAGGTCAAAGGTTTTTCAACTAGTTGTGGCCAGTGGACACCTGGTCTTAGACACAGCTGCTTAAGGGCTGACCTTTGAGTGGGGCTGTGGGTGGGGCAGGTAATGCCCTTGACCTGCACTGTATTGTAGAGAGCCACCTTAGACCTGTGAATGGAGTAAATGACCTGTATGTATAAAGTATATGTAAATGTTTGTGTGTTTATACAGGCACTTACGTGTGTGTATCAGTGTTTGCAACATTGAGGTGAAATGTGCCGTCATGTAAACTGAACAATTGGTGCTATGTTTAAAGAGACATGAAAATGTCCTAGTAATCTTGCTTCTGTAATTCAGTATAAGGGAATTTCATCCCCACGCAAAACGAAGATTCTGCTGCATTCTCATCTTAACAATGAAAGCCAGGAAACAACCTAAATGTCTAACAGTGAGCCAATATCTAAGTGAATTATGGTGTACCTGCTCAAAGTGATTTTATACATTTGAACTGTTTATGACGGAGACATTTTATTTATTTTTTGTCAGCTGGCTGGTACGGGAATCCAAACCCTTGACCTTGGTGTTACCAACACCGTCCTCTAACCAACTGAGCTAACCAGCCAGCCCCGAGACTCATTTTAACAACCAGGAAAATGTTAATGTTAAAAAGTTGAAAAAAATACTGACATCATTGCTGTGCTGACAACCAAAAAACTTAAGTCAACTTGATGACAAAAGCCAGAAAAATGAAAATGAATGTACTGGGGTTGGGGAGGAGGGTTTGTGAGTGATGGTTTATCTCGAGTTTCTTAACTGTGGTTATTACATTGTTTTTATAATAAAAAAAGTAAAGACATCAGTTGAAACTCAGATTCAGGAAGATAGTTTTATTGGTGGAGGCTTTACATTTCCCACTTAATTATCATGCTTATTCATGACATCTCAGTCTTTAAATGGCTGTCAGGTAAAATACCGTCTTTATAGGCTTCACTCTTCCCAGGGCTGAGGCCCAAATCATGTCCCTGCCTGCCGCCTTTCCTTTCTTTCTTCTTATTAACCATAAACCCCACCTAGTGAATAAGAACTTGGGCTCTGGAATCAGAGTGACATGGGGTGAACCCCGGCTCTGACACTTTGTCCCAGTGTCTCTGCTCTGCTGAGCCTGGCAGTCCGTCTGTGGCCTCAGGGACAGTGAACGTCCTGCTCCCAGACTGTGCTCAGCAGGGCAGCACTCCCTAAGTCCTGGTAGGCGCTGTGGTGAGCTGGCGCTGTCCTAAGTCACACGGTCACATCCCAGAAAGTAGGGGTTGAGGACAGAACACGGGCCTCGGAGTCCTCGGACCCAGGTAGGAGCCGTGGTTCTGGGAGTCACTATCAGGGGGATTAGGTCATCACTGAGTGACCTTGACATGTCTTCTGTAAACTGTGAAGTCCGGGATTGCTGTAAAGACTGAATGATGCAGTTGGAAAACTTTGAAACTTGTAAAATGATTCACGAATGTTAGTGTCATGATGACCTCTAATAATGATGCTTGCGCTTCTCTATGACCCCCGTTCCCCAACCTCCTTCAGACCTGCCTGCCGGGGAGCTGGGGCTTTGCTTGGGACTCCAGGCTTCAGATGAGGAAACTGAGGCACAGAGGGTCCCTCGGGTCCTCAGCCTCCATGCTCCTGCTAAGGAGCACAGAGGTACCTGTTTGTCCACATGTAGGGCCCCTGTCTGGGAGTGACCCCTCTCTCTTCTCTCTGTCTAGGGCACAGCTTGGATCCGGGCCTGGCTGGTCTGCTTGGGCGACGGGCACCGCGCTCCAGACAGCCTTTCATGGTCACTTTCTTCAGGGCCAGCCCGAGTCCCGTCCGCACCCCTCGGGCAGTGAGGCCACTGAAGAGGAAGCAGCCGAAAAAATCCAACGAGCTGCCGCACCCGAACACACTCCCAGGGATCTTTGGTGAGGGCAGGGGCTGCACCTGGGTGGGGCCCCACAGCATTTTGGGTGAGAGGCGGGCAAGAACGAGGTGGTGGTGACAGAACCCTCCAGGCCCTGGGTACAGTTCAAGACGACAGTCACTCTCCAGCCACCTTTTCTGACATCATCTGTGCCCCGATGCACCCTGATGACCAGCCACTCCACTTTCTCGTAGGCCTCTGAGTCTCTGCCTTGGCTGTCCCTGCCACCTGGAGGTCCCTTCTCTGTCCTCCTCTGTCCCCTCCAGGCCTTNTCCATCTGCAAGTCACTCAAGGCCCATCGCAGCAGGAGTTCTAGAAACCTAACCCATGCACCCCATGAGTTTTCTCCTCCCATGTGGTCATGTCCTGCATCATCCAGAGCAGGCACTTAGCTCCTTCTCTCAAATTGGCCTGTCGTGAAATCCTCCCTCGTAACCCGGGAGGGGTTGGATTTATAGTCTCAAAAACTAAAATGAAAAAAAAGTGTGTGTGTGTGTAGGTCAGAGCACTAAATTCTAACAGGTCAAGGACAGCCATTCCATAGGCCCCATGGAGCCTCACCCCCATGGAAGGGCCAGATCCTGGCATGGAGAGATGGGGAGGGAGAGACAGAGAGGGCAGCCTGGGGTGTGGGGGAGTGGCCAGGGACCAAGGCTGGTACACGGATCCGAACCCTTGATGTTGGTGTTACCAACACCGTCCTCTAACCAACTGAGCTAACCGGCCAGCCCCAAGACTCATTTTAACAACCAGGAAAATGTTTATGTTAAAAAGTTGAAAAAAAGGCCGGCCCGTGGCTCACTCGGGAGAGTGTGGTGCTGATAACACCAAGCCAAGGGTTGAGATCCCCTTACCGGTCATCTTTTAAAATAATAAATAGATAAAATAAAAATAAAAAGTTGAAAAAAATACTGACATCATTGCTGTGCTGACAACCAAAAAACTTAAATCAACTTGATGACAAAAGCCAGGAAAATGAAAATGAATGTACTGGGGTTGGGGAGGAGGGTTTGTGAGTGATGGTTTATCTCGAGTTTCTTAACTGTGGTTATTACATTGTTTTTATAATAAAAAAAGTAAAGAAGTCAGTTGAAACACAGATTCAGGAAGATAGTTTTATTGGTGGAGGCTTTACATTTCCCACTTAATTATCATGCTTATTCATGACATCTCAGTCTTTAAATGGCTGTCAGGTAAAATACCGTCTTTATAGGCTTCACTCTTCCCAGGGCTGAGGCCCAAATCATGTCCCTGCCTGCCGCCTTTCCTTTCTTTCTTCTTATTAACCATAAACCCCACCTAGTGAATAAGAACTTGGGCTCTGGAATCAGAGTGACATGGGGTGAACCCCGGCTCTGACACTTTGTCCCAGTGTCTCTGCTCTGCTGAGCCTGGCAGTCCGTCTGTGGCCTCAGGGACAGTGAACGTCCTGCTCCCAGACTGTGCTCAGCAGGGCAGCACTCCCTAAGTCCTGGTAGGCGCTGTGGTGAGCTGGCGCTGTCCTAAGTCACACGGTCACATCCCAGAAAGTAGGGGTTGAGGACAGAACACGGGCCTCAGAGTCCTCGGACCCAGGTAGGAGCCGTGGTTCTGGGAGTCACTATCAGGGGGATTAGGTCATCACTGAGTGACCTTGACATGTCTTATGTAAAGTGTGAAGTCCGGGATTACTGTAAAGACTGAATGATGCAGTTGGAAAACTTTGAAACTTGTAAAATGATTCACGAATGTTAGTGTCATGATGACCTCTAATAATGATGCTTGCGCTTCTCTATGACCCCCGTTCCCCAACCTCCTTCAGACCTGCCTGCCGGGGAGCTGGGGCTTTGCTTGGGACTCCAGGCTTCAGATGAGGAAACTGAGGCACGGAGGGTCCCTCGGGTCCTCAGCCTCCATGCTCCTGCTGAAGAGCAAAGCGGCCCCTGCTTGTCCACATGTAGGGCCCCTGTCTGGGAGTGACCCCTCTCTCTTCTCTCTGTCTAGGGCACAGCTTGGATCCGGGCCTGGCTGGTCTGCTGGGGCGACGGGCACTGCACTCCAGACAGCCTTTCATGGTCACTTTCTTCAGGGCCAGCCCGAGTCCCGTCCGCACCCCTCGGGCAGTGAGGCCACTGAAGAGGAAGCAGCCGAAAAAATCCAACGAGCTGCCGCACCCGAACAAACTCCCAGGGATCTTTGGTGAGGGCAGGGGCTGCACCTGGGTGGGGCCCCACAGCATTTTGGGTGAGAGGCGGGCAAGAACGAGGTGGTGGTGACAGAACCCTCCAGGCCCTGGGTACAGTTCAAGACGATAGTCACTCTCCAGCCATCTTTCCTGACATCGTCTGTGCCCCGATGCACCCTGATGACCAGCCACTCCACTTTCTCGTAGGCCTCTGAGTCTCTGCCTTGGCTGTCCCTGCCACCTGGAGGTCCCTTCTCCGTCCTCCCCTGTCCCCTCCAGGCCTTTCCCAGGAGCCTCCATCAGACCCGGATGTCCCTTCCCTGGGAAGCCACAGCCCTCTCGGCCCTCGGTTCTGCTCTGGGCACCCCGAGGCTCTTTATTGGAGTATCTGGAGGCCCACGGGCTGAGACGGGGGCTGGGATGAGCATAGTTACTCTGTAGTCATCGCAAGTCCTTGAAGGCTCTTGACCTGGATCATGGCACAAGCAGAGCTCTGAGTATGGCCTTTATGAGACCACCTGGTTTAGTTTTCTGTCATTTGTCTATTTCACAAATGTGCCCATGAGGGCCTTCCCCCCAGTTCCCCTGCAAGCACCCCAAGGCAGCTGCACAGAGCAGGAACCCCAGAAGAGACCTTGTACCCTCCGTCCCCTGCAGATGACATCCACAGCTCCAACGGCCGGCAGATATGCCGTCGGCACGAGCTCTACGTCAGCTTCCAGGACCTTGGCTGGCTGGTAATT